AAAAAAAAAAAAAAAAAAAAAAAAAAAAAAAAAAAAGAAAGAAATGAGGAGCTTACATTGTCAGTGGTTTTCAAACAGTTTAAATCTTTAAAAATCTTTTAGCAGTGGAATTGCCATCGAAAAGGGCTCTCCTACATAAACAGACCAAAGCGGAGCTGCCCTAGTGGAACTTGGCCCCTGTACAGTGTCAGCTCCTCGGGGACACCATCCAACAGGCGGGCCTGGGAAGGGAGGGCCCAGCAGGAGGACAAGCACCAGCACCCCCCGGGGAGGGCTTCAGCCCCGGCCCCTCCCACCAGGCACAGCGGCCGGGCCAGGCCTGCCCAGCCCTCTTGCCCCCGTGTGAGCTGCTGCGGCGAGGGGCTCTGAAGGCCACGCTGCGGAAGAGCTGCTAAGAGCTGAAGGGCTCTAGGGGCCGCGGCACAACCAAAAGGCCCTTCAAGAAAAAAGGGAAGCGGAAGACTTTTCACGGTTTCTTTCTCTCAGTGGAAAAACGGGTGGGAGGCTGGGGCAGCACCGTTTCCACGGCCACTCCCGTGTGACAGCTCCCCAGGACTGACCCAGGGCTGACAGACAGAGATCCCGCTGGAACTGGCTGACACTGGCCCTGTCCCTGTGTGGGTGATGGGGTGAGCAGCCCCCAGTGGCTCCTGGAGCCAAAGGGCCAGGTGATGTGGTTGATACGGTGTGGCCCCCACTAAACGGCATCTGTTGCCAGAAGAGGTGGAGGGAAGGACGTGGTGCTGCAGGGTGACCAGGTAGGCCTCTTCTCCTCCCTGAACCTCAGCGGACTCACCCCTGAGGTAGGGGATGCTCTCTCCTCCCAGGGCCTGCCCCGAGGATGGAATGAGGCTTGGTAGTTTGGGGTCTGCCCACCCCTGGCACCGAGCAAGCACTCACTGAACATCTGTCGGCTACACAAGAGATCCCATCCAAGCAGCCCCAGCCCGCTCACTCTCCTGCTGTCCAATGACTAGGGCACAGGACGCAGTCTGGGGACTCCTGCTCTCAGGAGGGAGCCCAAGGGCCAGCATAATGCTGCCACCTGGTGGCTGCTCGGGTCCATGCACAGCAGGTAACAGCGGCAAATCCGTCCCTCGTTGGCTTCATCAACACCCACTGACAGCCACGTTGTTCTGGTGCTGGCGCCGGGGGCACGAGCCCCATGCAGTTCCCATTCCCTAGGGCTTCACAGGGTGGCAGGGAAGGAACACGGGCACACTGACAGAGCCCACCTTTGAAGGCAGCTGCATAGGGCAGGGGGGCCACAGGAGGGAGGAGGAGGGCTGCAGGGGGCAGGTGGGGAAGGGCATCGAGAGCACAGACAGCAGCAGGTGCAGAGGTGTGGAGGGCAGCCCGATGGGCATCAGTCCAAATGGCCACACAGGAGGAAGAGCAGACTGGGAGAGAACAAGAGGTCCTCAAGGACTGTCTAAGGGGGACATGCCTGGAACCAGGGGTTGGAAATTGGAAGCACTGGGGTGGTGGTAGCTGGGGCTACAGGTGTGGGGAGGGAGGATGGCCCAGGGAGGGCAGCAGAGCCCAAGCTGCAGGAGTGGGGACTGGGGTGCTGAGGTTCCAGAGAGCTGCTCATGTGGACAGGTGGGTGTGAGCCCTCTTCAGGGGCAGGTAGACACTGGCACCCAGGGCAAGAGATGCAGCAGGCTCCTCAAACTTGAACACACACCCTGGGGTCCTGCTAAATGCAGATTCTGACTCAGGAGTCTGGGATGGGGCTGGAGAGTCTGCATTTTCAACTAGGTCCCAGGTGACCTGATGCTGCTGGTGTGGGGACCAGTTTAGACAATTCCGTGACACAATGGGACCTGGGAGTGGATGAACTGGAGGGGCTGGGGAGCTCCACTTTGGATGCTCAGAGGCCACGCCTGGGAGACGCCCTCCTGGGGCAGTCAGCGGAGATGAAGCAGCTCTTAAATGAGGGAGGGACACAGCCAGTGCTGGGCCCCAGCAGCGGCAGCGTCAATTGTCACTTCTGCCCCTTTGGCGGGCCTTTCTGTGCTGCTGTGCCAGGCTCCGGGGGTGGCAGGGAGCACACGGAGCAGGCAGGCAGGCCTCCCTGATTTGTTGAGGGCTGGTCAGCCAGAGAGTACCTGAAGGGAGGTTGAGGCCCAGCCCCACCAGGATGCAGACAGGGATGGGCCCCCAAAGGGGCACTATAGCTTTCTAGATGGCAGGACATTTCCAAGACTAGGCGAGCAATTGGCTGACCAGGGAGAGATGCCAGTCTTTGCGGCCAGGAGTAAGGACCAGGTCCCTGGAGAGGGGCCGTGTATGGACCCTCCCGGATGAACTGCTAAATTCCTATCTCGTCGCACTCTGGGGCAGGGGGGAGGGTGGGGGTGTCACCAGTTCACACACTTGCCTCTTCCTGACTCACAGACTGAGTACACCGAAGTTACCCAGAGGCGCCCAGGTCCCGCGGTGCAGTACACAGATTGCTGTCCCCTCCCACCCCTCTCCCCCTCGGGATTTTTTCCCTTTTTAGGTTATCTTGGCTGGAGAAAAGCGCTACCCCCGCCCCCCACCTTGTTTTCCCTAACTCCCCAAATGAAATTTCAACATATGTCCTCCAACCTAATCCCCCTTAGGCTGCGGATAACCCTTCCCACAGACGCTGTCCTATGCCCGGGACTGCTCGTCCCCGAAGTGTTTGCCCAAGAGACTAGGGCCGCTTCTGGAAGCCCTTTCACTCCCTTGGGCAAACAGCAAGTACCTTTGAAGGTGGATTTGGGCCTGGATTTGTTTACTCAAGACATTAGTCTCCTGCATAAGGAAAACCTGCACTGGCGTACAAACAGCAAATCCTTTTTGAATTAAAAAAATTTTCAATTAAAAAGCATTTGGGTCGCAGAGCCTAGTCCAGCTGAGCAGTGCCGGGCTGGGGCGCCCTCTCGTGGGCACAGGCTGCCATTGCAGCAGCACAGCTGACCAGGCCCAGGGCCTCTACCAGGAAAGAGATGTCACCGTCAGGGGCTGTTGGGGGCTTTCCTGGGGTCCCAGGGACCCTGCCACTGAGGCATCAGTCCTCTCAGCTTCCCAAAGCCTCTGCTCATAGCGAGGCCAATGTCTTGTCATAGGAGGTGCCCACTGTGGCTTCCAGTGGCATCTTGGAAGGCAAAGTTACTTTAGCCTCCAGGCTCACATGCAAACGGGGGCTTGAGGATGCACGGGGAGCCAGGATTGCCCTCCTCATACCATGGGGAGGTTCTAGAATACCCTGGAGCTGAGGAGACTACCTTGTCCAATGCCCTCATTTAGGGTGAGACCCTGCAGCTGGGCCTGGAGCTCTTGGCTCGTGGATTCCAGCTCTGACTCCCATAGCCACTAATAAGGTGGTAGGAGTGGCAGGAGCTGCCAGCTCCTGATCTCCAGGGGCCTACTTCCTCAGGAGGCTGGTCTGGTTGCCCCTGCCACAGTCTCTCAGAGAGTCTAGCTGCCTGACCAAGGCCACATGGGGTTGGGACCCAGCTGGGAGGCACCTTTAACCCTCACACCAGTGGGGAAGGACAGAGGCAGCGGCGAGGGCTCCTCCAAGCCCTTCGGGAAGCCACATCTGTGTTCTCGTTCTGGCTTTCCCAGTTAGTTCAGGAGCTCTAATCTGAGAGCAGCAGCTGTGGGGTCTCCCCCGAAACCAAAGGGCTGGATAAGGCCCCACTGGCTCATGTATGCAGAACCTCCATGTGGTTCTGGAC